AAAAGACAAAGATGGTATATTTTTACACATACTAACACATAAAAAAATTGTATGTTTGAGTATTTGTGACAGTGACAGTGTAAAGTACAGAGCAGCTTCCGCATCGTTTGTCCAATAGAACGGTACTAAATAGCCTAGAGTCGACCGGGTTTATAGCCAGACGACCTATCAGGCGTCCGTTGATATCCCCGGAGCACAAAGCAGCACGGCCATCTTGGTGTTTAGCTTCACGTCACTTGAATTTGACGTTATGGGAAAGGGTAGTTTAAAGTCGAATTCTTTTGTTCCTGACTGATGCCCGAACTCGTGTTTGGCGCCACAAAAACACTGCATATCCGCTACGGAATATCTTGGAGCAAGTACCGTTAGGCAGTGGATCATTTCACATCAATGTTAACTTGACCTTGTGACCCCAAATCCAAATGAACATCGGTACATCACTGACATCCTAGACGGGGTTGTTGTACCACATTTCGATGACCATCCTCTCAACACAAGGCATCCTTCATGGACGACAATGCTAGGCCAGTGCCGTTGGTGATTCTTTACGTCAAGAGGCGGTAGCAACTCTACCTTGGATCTCCAGAAGTCCATATCTAAAACGCAGTAACTCAACGTCAAGCCTATTTCTGGTGTCCCCCGACATGATATTGCTTGAATATTGCTAAAAGCGGCGTAAAATAAAACTCACTCACTCACTCAACGTCAAATGTGACGCCTGATACAGTCAATGACGAGGAGAAGGAGGGAGGTCCGGGATGTTGTGGCAGCTGGCGGAGGCTACACCAGATACTGACATTGTGTGATACTTATGTGTTTTCTTGAGAATTGTATGCCAGAATCTCGAAAATGGCAGCACTTGTTACCGTCATACGACCACAGTTATCAGCGCTACAACATGAGTAAATGTTTTGCCATGTTGCCTCTCTGAATAATCCAGTTTTTCTATATTTTTGTCTTTAGATTTGCCATTTGATTGTTGTTTGTGGGTCAATGTATCCAGATAGTAAGTTAAATTCAGTTTGGATAAGTTCCCTTGCAATGGTTAATGGTAACATATTGATACTATTAAAAAATACGTCGTGTTGCGATATTTTTTTCCATGTGTATGTTAACATTTCATCGATTTATATTCATATTTTCAAAAGCAGGTTTGTCTCACCTTTCCGGCGAACCGGTGTTAAACTAAACAGTGCATCCAAAATAGGTCATATGTCCTCTTCGTGTGTGATATTTAGTTAGTAATTAAGTGAAAGAATCGCATCCAGTTGATGAATAATTTCTGTATTCAACCTGTAGGTGTATCGATAACACAATTATAATGTGTTTCAAGACGTATTTAACGAAAGCATGCGAAGTTGATATGTTTTAAATATTCGAGTTAATGGTTGAATATAGTTTTCCCAAAATGTCAATAGACGCAACCTAATTTTGTGATTTGAGGTGATATAAAATATTGAAAAGTGCAGTAGATCTAATTCACAGTAATCTATTCCTGTTAAATAGACTTACAATTAGTACATTCGTCCTTGAGGTGGAAGCTCAATATCTGATATTTAGTGGTTAAAGCGTTGGCTCGTCACGCTGAAGACCCGGGTTCGATTCCCCACATGGGTACAATGTGTGAAGCCCATTTCTGGTGTCCCCCGCCGTGATGTTGCTGGAATATTGCTAAAAGCGGCGTAAAACCAAACTCAATCACTCACTCTGATATTTGGATTTATTTGTTAGTGAAATTGTTATTGTTTTGTATTATTGTTTTTCTATTCATAAGGGTGTTTTCTAATTTTATGTTTTGAACTCTTCATTTTAATTTTATTCTACTTTTCATTTAAGGTTTTGCACGGCAATCGATATTAAAATTTTGTCTTCCATTGTTTTGTAACTGATTAGACATTTTGCTAGATCAATATACATGTTACAAGATTAATATGATGTTATTCCAACATAGAGCTTAGTCAGCTTGTGATATTCGTTTCGAAAATGTGACAGGGTTTGTTTTACAGCCGCTATGTACAGCATAGGTGGGTCCAGACCGGGGTGTGGGTGGGGTGCTGGGGTGCCCCCCCTTCCCCCTTGTCCTGAAAGTTTATTGAATGACCATTGAAACTCGGGTGTAAATGAAGTGTGCACACACCCCTTTTTTCTCAAGCCACCCCCCCCTCTTTTTCCCAAAAGGCGTATCCGCCCTTGTACAGTATTTCAATTATATCACAGAGTCTCTGCTTGAAGCTACGAACATAATTTTTAAGTATGTTGTTGTGTTTTAGTCGATGTATTTACTAAATTAGACAGACAGAATCCCCAATTCATGTAAAAATAAGCCACAAAACCCTTTCCACAATTATAAGAAATCTCTGCTTAAAGTAGAGTCGATTGTACAATTGTGACTATATCATGCCTGTATATATTTGTTTCAGCAGTATTTCAGCTGTACGATGTTGTTTGTAAACAAACCGAGTCTGGACCAAACAATCTAGTGATCGTCACCATGCATACGATGACATGGCATGTGCTTAGGAATCATTATGAAATAGTGATGATACCAGGGATTCGCGACCAGGTGAGCGTATCCTGCCCCACCGGTTGCACCCGTCATAAACATATGCTAAGTCTAGTCAGTTCTTCATCTGAACTAATTCTGATTTGTGACGTGACCCACCACACAACACCAAGGAAAGTAAAAAACAACAATCTTATCATAAATACTTGAATAAACGCCTGTCCTGATAAACATAATTTTGTCGTTATACCTGTCAAATAAAACAAACATTCTTTGGAAGAACTCTATTGAAGAAACTCCTCGAGTTTACTTGATACCGGGTAAGCTAGATATTTGATTTAAATATCGCTAATATTCTTACTTTTCTATCACTTTATTTCTTTATGATGGGTACATAATTGTTGCGTTTGTGGTACATGTAAAAATACAAAATATGGACACGGGTTGTAGATAGTCCGCAGGGTGATACAAGGCTAAAAGAACAAATTGTTATTGTAACGTATATGAAGAGGTTATGGCAAGATGACCAAACGGTGAAGAATTTACCGTAGTTACAGTGCGAGTAGGCAGTACATTTGTCAATTTCATGGTGTGTAGGTAATGTTTTAATCCAGCAAACTGTGGATGCGAATTACAACATCTCTGTGCATATATCATTTGTTTTTCTTTATATCCAAAGATGATATGTTTTGTATCCAGAATTAATCTTGTGCCACTATCTTGTTCAATCCAGGCTTTTAGTTGCTGCCACGACGTTTTCACATGTACACACTCACAGAATATGTGGATAATTGATTCGATTTTAACATTACAAAATGTAGAAGAAACAGACTGCATCAAATATATCCTTGTTTGTTGTAATGATTCTATGGACAATTTCATATTGAAACCATCTGAATTGTGTATTACAAGTTGTTCTAAAAGATACAAAGTTAAAACCTTTCCAGAGTTGTTCTGATATACATGTATCTACTTTGATACCCCTTTCCCATTTAATGTTTTATATTCTTATAGAGAATATTCTTACAGAGAATAGAGATATTCTATTGTTAACAATAGTTAATAGCTTAACACTTCATGCATCGTGTATTAAATGGGTGAACTGTTTGAATGCAATTTGATAAATACTGTGGAGAAATAAAAAAATCAATATTCTAAACGAAAGAAATAAAATATTTACCGATGATAAAACTTGTTCCAGCCCACTGAAGTAGAAGTAAGAATACCATGTTTCCCTGGAGACATACCAATTTATCCCTGAAACCACTCAGCTGTGTTACATTCGTTTTTCAACAACCTGAATTATTCGAAAAAAATACTTATTCTGAAAAATGGATACTGGGATATTGATGATGTCAACACACGAGGAGCACATTCACAAACTGTAAGAGAGTGAGTATTGTTTTACGCATTTAGAAATAATTTAGAAATTTCAAGGCGTGGGAAGACAAAACGGACTGTCATATACTCATATGAGAATTCAACCCTTAGTCCTCGGCAAGGAGGGCGATTTTTTTAACCGCAAGGATACTCCACATTACCAACGAATTATAAAACAGATAAACATATGAAAAAGAAAGAAAGAAAGAAAGAACAAACAAAACTAAAACAAACTACAAAGAAAAGACACCCCCATCCCCCAATAAATAAACCCAAAGAAAAACAAAACAGCAACCCCCAAACACCGCCCCCCCAAAAAAAACCCCGCACAAACGAACAAACAAAAAAACAAACCCAAAACAAAAACAAAAAACCCCAAGAAAATATTAAAAACAAATAACCCCACAACCTCCAACGCCCCATTCGTCTTTCATTCATGTCTGAAAGGAAAATACGAATAACAACAAAACGTCTATTCTGTTGATTTACATTATCTCTCATGAATTTTCAGATTGATACAAAACAATCACTAATGGAGCGTATGTTTAGCAAAGCAGGGATTATACGGGATTATTTTGATGAAACACAGAGTGTCCCGCCACATATCCTTATCTGAACTGTTTCTAGAACCACAACCACAATTTGTTATCTCCAGATATAATATTACGATAAACTAGTTTCCCCTCCATTAATGTTATATCAACTGGATGTACCATTTTTGATGCCATAGTCTTCAAAGAAACGTGTTAAAGTGTTCATTATTGTCTCACAACATATAAAATCTATATCACTCGTAGAGACAACCAGCTTGTTTCCTTACGAAGTCTTAATACAAGTGTCCAATGTCTTTATTAAGCACTATCGAATCTCAGCACGCCATATTTGCCCAAACCGAAATCTGCCAAATCTCTGGCACTCTCAGAAACCATTTACCTGTCCAGATCAATACTAGTGATTAAACATTCCACGCACCTGTCCGTACTCACGCAGGTGTGAGGACAACGCTCACCACACAGTCCCTCATCAGCCTGTTGTTATTTCCGTCGTTCCAAACAGACGCTTCTTGTAGATCGGTTACCATGGTGATACCCTCTTCACGGGTGCGCGTCTGCCAAACTCCACCTTCAGCCATATTGAATTACAGTTGACTGTTTTTTCAAACTTTTCCAGTGTCATTTGTTGGGGAAATGATCGGGATGTACTGATGGAAACATTGGTGAATGTATTCTCATGGAACGTTATGAAGTTTAACATCTTTCTCTGACGGATAATACCTGAAGAAGATTGTAGTTTCATCTGACGTATGCTCGGAGCATCGGTATTTACGGCTGATGTTTCTATCGCATGTGGTATTTATATCCTACATGTGAAATAGTTATTCCAAAACGAGGAATAAGATTTAATGCATCCATGTAAATGATCTTGTGGCACAGACGAACGTCTTTGCTGGCCTGGATGTCAAACGCCCCCTCTTAGAAAAAGAAATTGTGTACGGTGAACGACGTTTGAGGTGAAGTAGGAGGAAAAGGTATTGAAATATTCATTTGACTAAATGGATCACGTCTAAAGTTTCAGAAGTCTACAAGCTTGGGTGTCTTCGAAAGCGTTGCCTTGGCAACCGGGGCAATACGAGTTCAATTACACAATCTTGATACGGGTGTGGAAGCTTCTCTCTTAGACGTGTCCGTGGTTCCGATGTGAAACTACAGCCTGGATTTTTAAGTGGATTATTTCAACTATTTATCAACATGACCTGAATATATCTGAAGCAGACGACACCTTAAAAAGGATGGAACCTGGGTCACGGAGCCAATCTTTGGCACCAAAATTGTCCTTAGCTCCGGGACGTTCTGGAAATAACCGTGTTGTTATTAATGTGGGAGGAATAAGGTATGAAACGTATAAAACGACATTAAAAAGCATTCCTGACACTCGACTGTCATGGCTGACGGAGACGACAGCCCAAAACCCTGACTACGACAGGACGACTGGGGAATATTTCTTTGATCGCCACCCTGGTGTGTTTAACATGATATTAAACTACTACCGTACAGGGCGACTTCATGCACCCACAGACGTGTGTGGACCCCTCTTTGAGGAGGAACTTGCGTTTTGGGGCATCGACGAGAAGCAGATCGAGCCCTGTTGCTGGAGCAACTACAGAGCTCACAGGGATGCTCAGGAGACACTGGCGGAATTTGATGATGGTGTTGGGGACGATGGTGGGGATACAGATGTTGAGGATGAGGATGAGATTGCCAAAAGGTTCGGGATAGTGGAGAAGAAAATTGATAAACCTTTCTGGGAACGGTGGCAACCAAGGATTTGGAGTTTGTTAGAAGATCCGAAATCTTCCACTGGAGCAAAGGTACGTACTGTTTTTAATTTTGAGTGTTTATACCTGTTGGTTTTCCAAGATAAGATGTATACATCCCCCCCACATATTGTCTATGTTATGTGTTTCCTAGACTAGTAGTGATAATATTTTTCACGGTATGACGGATCTTGCTAGAAAAGTAACCCTTGCTTGTATTACAATCCGTATTTCGTGTCCGAACCGTCAATCCACCCCGATGAAGGTGTGGAAGTGAGTACCCCAAGCTTGTCACCTTGGGTGTTTACTGGGCCGACATTATATATCCGCTGCAAGTATTGCCTGTCGTCCCTCTTGAATTACTTGTAAAAATGAATCCCTTACACTTACACGCTTACACTGAAAATATGTAATTTTGGTAGAAACAAATAAATCCAAAATAAGCCCCAGTGAGATTCTGAATCTGTGGAAAAAATCTATACTTGCTTCATATAGAGCTGTTACATTTCAGATGGGGCTGGGGTTAAGGGGAAATGATCTGGTTCAGGGACTATAAGAGATGTTGAGTAGGCCCCCATATCTTATACCTGTCACATAGTACGAAAAGAATAGGTCCCCAGTTTCCAGTGCATGCTATCCTCTGAGGATTCTTGGGTGTATCACCACACAGTACCTCAATATTGTCACCTCAAGGGTATTGTTGTGGTGAACAGTTTCCCCAGAACACTGAGCTTGTCAACTGGCCGGTGTTCCGAGGCTGATAGGTGTCCAGTACCCCACTATTGTCACCTCAAGGGAATTATTGTGAAGAAGAGTTCCCCTTATTTTCAACTGGTCGGTGTTCCGAGGCTGATAGGTGTCCAGTACCCCACTATTGTCACCTCAAGGGAATTATTGTGAAGAAGAGTTCCCCTTCTTGTCAACTGAGTTGGTGTTCCGAGGCTGATAGGTGTCCAGTACCCCACTATTGTCACCTCAAGGGAATTATTGTGAAGAAGAGTTCCCCCTTATTTTTCAACTGGTCGGTGTTCCGAGGCTGATAGGTGTCCAGTACCCCACTATTGTCACCTCAAGGGAATTATTGTGAAGAAGAGTTCCCCCTTATTTTTCAACTGGTCGGTGTTCCGAGGCTGATAGTCCAGTGTCCAGTACCCCACTATTGTCACCTCAAGGGGAATTATTGTGAAGAAGAGTTCCCCTGATGGGTGTTACCCCAATTTTCACCTCAACTGGTCGGTGTTCCGAGGCTGATATGTATCCAGTACCCCACTATTGTCACCTCAAAGGGAATTATTGTGAAGAAGAGTTCCCTTCTTGTCAACTGGTCGGTGTTCCGAGGCTGATAGGTGTCCAGTACCCCAATATTGTCACCTCAAGGGAATTATTGTGAAGAAGAGTTCCCCTTCTTGTCAACTGGTCGGTGTTCCGAGGCTGATAGGTGTCCAGTACCCCACTATTGTCACCTCAAAGGGAATTATTGTGAAGAAGAGTTCCCCTTGATATTGTCAACTAGTCGGTGTTCCGAGGCTGATCCGAGGATGATAGGTGTCCAGTACCTCAATATTGTCACCTCAAGGGAATTATTGTGAAGAAGAGTTCCCCTTATTTGTCAACTGGTCGGTGTTCCGAGGCTGATAGGTGTCCAGTACCTCAATATTGTCACCTCAAGGGAATTATTGTGAAGAAGAGTTCCCCCTTATTTTTCAACTGGTCGGTGTTCCGAGGCTGATATGTGTCCAGTACCTCACTATTGTCACCTCAAGGGAATTATTGTGAAGAAAGTTCCCCTTCTTGTATCGGTGTTCCGAGGGATGAGAGTGTCCAGTACCTCAATCTTGTCACCTCAAGAATTATTGTGAAGAAGAGTTCCCCTTCTTTCCAAGTCGGTGTTGAGGCTGATAGGTGTCCAGTACCCCAATATTGTCACCTCAAGGGAATTATTGTGAAGAAGAGTTCCCCCTTCTTGTCAACTGGTCGGTGTTCCGAGGCTGATAGGTGTCCAGTACCCCAATATTGTCACCTCAAGGGAATTATTGTGAAGAAGAGTTCCCCTTCTTGTCAACTGGTCGGTGTTCCGAGGCTGATAGGTGTCCAGTACCCCAATATTGTCACCTCAAGGGAATTATTGTGAAGAAGAGTTCCCCTTCTTGTCAACTGGTCGGTGTTCCGAGGCTGATAGGTGTCCAGTACCCCACTATTGTCACCTCAAGGGAATTATTGTGAAGAAGAGTTCCCCTTCTTGTCAACTGGTCGGTGTTCCGAGGCTGATAGGTGTCCAGTACCCCAATATTGTCACCTCAAGGGAATTATTGTGAAGAAGAGTTCCCCTTCTTGTCAACTGGTCGGTGTTCCGAGGATGATAGGTGTCCAGTACCTCAATATTGTCACCTCAAGGGAATTATTGTGAAGAAGAGTTCCCCTTCTTGTCAACTGGTCGGTGTTCCGAGGCTGATAGGTGTCCAGTACCTCAATATTGTCACCTCAAGGGAATTATTGTGAAGAAGAGTTCCCCTTCTTGTCAACTGGTCGGTGTTCCGAGGATGACAGGTGTCCAGTACCCCAATGTTGTCACCTCAAGGGAATTATTGTGAAGAAGAGTTCCCCTTCTTGTCAACTGGTCGGTGTTCCGAGGCTGATATGTGTCCAGTACCCCACTATTGTCACCTCAAGGGAATTATTGTGAAGAAGAGTTCCCCTTCTTGTCAACTAGTCGGTGTTCCGAGGCTGATAGGTGTCCAGTACCCCACTATTGTCACCTCAAGGGAATTATTGTGAAGAAGAGTTCCCCTTCTTGTCAACTGGTCGGTGTTCCGAGGCTGATAGGTGTCCAGTACCCCACTATTGTCACCTCAAGGGAATTATTGTGAAGAAGAGTTGAAGAAGAGTTCCCCTTCTTGTCAACTAGTCGGTGTTCCGAGGCTGATAGGTGTCCAGTACCCCAATATTGTCACCTCAAGGGAATTATTGTGAAGAAGAGTTCCCCTTCTTGTCAACTGGTCGGTGTTCCGAGGATGATAGGTGTCCAGTACCTCAATATTGTCACCTCAAGGGAATTATTGTGAAGAAGAGTTCCCCCTTATTTTTCAACTGGTCGGTGTTCCGAGGCTGATATGTGTTCAGTACCTCAATATTACCACCTCAAGGGAATTATTGTGAAGAATAGTTCTCCATTATACTGTGCTTGTCAACTGGTCGGTATTCCGAGGCTGATAGGTGTCCAGTACCCTAATATTGTCACCTCAAGGATCTGTTTATATATTTTGTAACTAAAACAAGTCCATGATTCATGAGTCATGGGAAATGATACATGGTACATGGTACATGATACTTTGAATCCAACACATTTAAACAGTTTAACAACCATAACACAACTGAAATTTGACGTCAAATTCCTCATAAATTGATCATGCATAATGCATAATACATGTTCAAACAATTAGTTCACTTACAAAAACGAGAACGTGTGGTAAATGTGAAAACAGAATATTGCAAACACAGTTTTTGATTGATGTTTAAAAACGCAGTTGTTACCTTATGCTGTCAGTGTCACAGTTGGATACACGTTCTAGCGTCTTAGTACCTTGCCGGAGCAAAACATGAAAACAAGATGTTGAACCTCGTCTTTCATTGATAGTATTGCCACTTAAAGACTAGTTTTATATTTACGAGTGATAGCATTCGTATTATTCGTACATACATACATACATACATACATACATACATACATACATACATACATACATACATACATACATACATACATACATACATACATACATACATACATACATACATACATACATACATACATACATACATACATACATACATACATACATACATACATACATACACATACATACATACATACATACATACATACATACATACATACATACATACATACATACATACATACATACATACATACATACATACATACATACATGCATACATACATACATACATACATGCATGCATACATAGAAACACGACAGGCCAACGCGAGGGAATATCACACAGAATACATTCATTCAGGAATTACTCATCTTCCATATATCATTTCTCGATTTTCGGTGATGAAATAATTAAATTTTCATCGCTATTTTCTTTTTGTGCTCAAGTGGATAAACGAGATAATTCCCAAACGTGTTATGTTTTTCAGTTGAAGTGGTTTTACATTAATTTAAAAAGCCTTTTTTCTATTTAACTTTTCCTCATAACTTAAACATGGCATGAAGAAACGTTACGATAGGCAGTTAGTGATTAGAATCTACTGGTCGAGGCTATTAATTGTGCTACAGAGACCATGATAATTCACTAAATCAATGAAACCTGTATATTGCATATCTGGAAGATATCTAAAGGGTCAAAGTCCTTTCACTACAGTCATTGACACGACAGAACATAGTTCCAACTTTAGAATCTATCAAAATATAACAAAATGTCATGAATAGAAGTTTAATACGACCAAACTGTAGACAGACATATTCCTATCGCTCCGTTATTGACTATATAATGCATGAAATTAATGTATAATAGTCGAGAGCAGTGTAGTAATACTTGTATTGCAATTTTCAAACAGCTGAACAAAGGTTAGTAAACGCTCTCAATAAACGCTCGAAGGAATAAACAGACAATGCAGGAATTTCCAGAAAATGTGTGCAACACATACAAGGCCAGAACCCTGCTTATGTTTTTGGCTATTTCATGAAACTAAGATCTTGCACAGAGCAAAAACTGTAGTTTATTTGAAGAAAACAAAACATAATACCCATTTTCTCGATATGGTCAATCTGTGTCATAACTCAGCTGCGTACAAAATAAATCTTCACACATTTTTGGATGTTGTGATGAAGCAAAGAAAGTGTAAAGCTGAATTAATTCTAACACGCAACACCCATGGAACGTTGAAAGAGAAAATTCCAGATTCGCAATGATAGGAAAATATGAATAATGCAATATTGCATTAAAATATTTCAATAAGCTTTACGACAAGCATTCTTTCCAATTGCCAGGTAGCACCTTCGTTATGCAATATTTACCTACAGTTG